TTACCTACACCCAGAGGCAGTACTATAGTATGTGCTGTTCTGTGTGCATCCCGGGGGTGGAAAAAGGAATGTGGACATGATCTCTGAGAGAACCCTGGGTATCAGCACCCCCCTGTCATGAGCTGCCAGGTGCCTCCCCCTAACCTCACTCTTCCACAACTCAGAGGATTCCAGGGTTAGAGCTGGAGCTGGCCTCACACACTCTCGGGCCCAACCCCCTTCATTGTATAGGTGTTCCCATCTATAGAGCCATAGATCTATGGCCTTTTGGAGTGATGCTCAGAGAGGCTGAATGAGTTGACCAGCACCACACAACTAGTGAGTGGAGGGCTGGAACATGAATGCAGGCCACCTCCTAAGCCCTTATCCGGCCCTTCTTTTCATTATATAACAGCAAGACAGGGGACATTAGAGCAGCATGGGCCTTGCCCTTGCTTAGCCGACCACGGTAACGCTTAGTCTTGCTGTGGGTCTGAGGTAGAGCGACACCGATCACTTGCCTGCCCATGCAGTCTGCCTAGGCACCACCCACAGCAGCCCCAGCTGCATATTCCCAGCAGGCAGGCATCAGCCGTCAGGACCCTTTGGTCTGCCAAGAGCCAGGCCTTGGCTGTGACAATGTGCACCAAGGGAGATTTGCCCTCTGAAAGCTGACTTCTACATGCTTCCTTACAGACCGATTGGGACGAAACAAGCTCCGCTTCTGTGGGAGGTTTCTCTAGATTACATTTATTTGGCCTGCCTTGTTTGTTCCAGCTTTCCTCTGTTATCCCTGCCTAAATACTCCAGGATGTACTACCTATAGGAAAATCTCAGTTAATTATTTAAAAATAGGAATATATGCAGTTGAAAATACTTTCATTGGACAAAGTAAGTTTTTCAAAATCTGCACCAGGCTTCACTATTTCACTGCTTTCTCCTTCCTGAAGGAAATGGACCTACACAACGGACTCTTCTCTCCTGTGTCACCTGTCCCTCACATAGGTCCACGCATTCTCGGGTGTATATTCTATGGAAGGCCCTGTGGGAGGAACACATAGCTGTGAAAATCAGACCCTGTCCTCCAGAGACATACCTTTTAGTGTAGAAAAATAACAACAGCTGACAGGTATTGAATTCTTTCCATGTGCCATGCACTGTGCCAAGTGCAGGCCACCTCATTTACCCCTCCCAACATGCTTGGTGAGGGGGACTGGAGTGAGAGACCGAGGGCCCAGCCATGCTCACGCTTCAGGGAGTGGCAGAGCTGGGGTATGTACCTGGCCTTGTACTACAACCAGCAGGCATCACACTTACTAGCCAGGGTTGTGCATGTGATGGTTCCCCAACAAGGGGGCAAACTCATCGTGAGCCCCAATGTCTTACATGTTTAGGATCCTAAAAATCCCACTCATGGTCCAGGCTTAGTACATGTTTCTTTTTTCTTTCTTTTTTTAAAATATATTTTATTGATTTTTTACAGAGAGGAAGGGGAAGGGATAGAGAGTTAGAAACATCGATGAGAAAGAAACATCGATGAGAGAGAAACATCGATCAGCTGCCTCCTGCACACTCCCCACCGGGGACGTGCCCGCAACCAAGGTACATGCCCCTGACCGGAATCGAACCTGGAACCCTTGAGTCCGCAGGCCGACGCTCTATCCACTGAGCCAAACCGGTCAGGGCAGTACATGTTTCTTGATTGATTGCTCAGGATAGGGGAGCCGCGCTGCTTTGCAGTGCTCTGAGAATCAAAATACACAGTAGTAGTAAATCCTCTATATAGCTCGGATGAAATCGAGCCCAAGAACATTTGTTAGGATTGGTCCTGGGCAAGCCTAGCACACGGGAGGGTGGGCATCTGTTCACCTAAAGCTGCTGAGAGTCCATAGCTTAGACATGGTTAAGGATAAACTACTGGAGGGTCAGTGTTAAGTTCTGGGGTCAGGAGCCCCACACAGGGGTCCCTGATTACGAGCTCTGTGGTAACATGAAGATGAAAGAAGTCTGCCTTCAAGAGCTGAAGGTGAAGTGCTGAGCTCACATATTGCCTTGGCCCTGGCACCAGATAGAACGTTATGTGTTTGTGTTTGTATGTACTGTATGTTGGTAAGTAGGTAGGTATCTTTTTTTTGTTCTTTTATTTAATTTTTAAATTTTGATGATGAATCCATAAGGTTCTACCCTTCATTCGTGGGAGGAAAGCCCTCATCTGGGCTCCACCACAGACATTAAAAGTTACCCTGCTGAGGACTGGGGCTGGGAAAAGGCAAGAATGAAAACAGAGGGCCCTGTCCGCAGGAGGCAGGGACTGGGTCCTTCCCGGAGTGTATCATCTGTGACATTTAAAACTGTCAGAGGCATTTCCCAGCCAACTTCACTCCTGGGCAGAGGGGCCTGGAAAATGCTCGTGTTAGCTTCCCTCCACCTCCCCTCCCACCGTGGTGCTTCCTTTGCCAAGAACACAAGGGCACTACCTGTGTGAGCTGGCCAGGCCGCTCTGCAGCCAGAGAATCTGGAGGCTGGCTGGGTCCCAGCGATGCCGCACCCAGGACTGCGCGGCCTCGGGGAGGCGAGGTGAGCCGCCTGGAGTGACTCAGGCCAAGGAAGTGTGATGCCCAGACACGTTTGTTCATCAGTTCCTCCGAGCCTGAGTCCATGCTTACTATCCTGGCAGGATAGACAGACACTGAGAACCCAGGCAATGACTGAGAGTCGCCGGGGACCAGCAGTCTAGGACCCGTGGGTGACAAATATGACTCAATGATCTGATCGTCATTTCAAATGCCAACACCTTTTTTTTTTCCCCTCTTCTTTTTCCTTCTTTAACTTATTAGGGACTTTTCCCATAAGGGTATATAACATAGCCTGCCCAAGCTTGTTCCCAAGCTCAGATCTAACCAGGATTTGTCAACACCCTCCTGGTCCCCTGCCCTCTGATTACATACAATAAATAAATGCTGCGGCCAAAGAGCATCACATCCTGGGAGCAGTGTCCAGGGTGAGCCTGGCAGAAACAGCATGCACAGGAGCCTTGGACCTCCGGGTCACAGTTCTGAGGACAGGGCAAGAGCTGGGAGAGCAGGCCCAGCTCCGGGCTTCTCTCCCCTGAGGACCACCTCTCAATCCCAAGCAAGGAGCCCTGTGTTGGCTCATCATCCCTGCAGTGAAAGTGCTAGAGGAACATGGAATGTTGTGAGGCCCACATTACTGCTCCGTTCCAGCTTCAGATGGACAGACAGAGCCATTCCCTCTTATCCCGAGAGTCTCTGAAGAGCCCCTTCCATCCGAGCTTCCCTGGAGTGAGCTCCGCTCAGTGTGGCATTTATTAAGGACCCACTGAGTGCCACACCCGTGCCAGGTAACGCAGGGAGGCAGTGATAAGAGCCCCTTGCTCACAGAAAGTATTCAACAGGGTCTGCTTTTCTCTTGGATTTGAGCTTGATGGGATCCTAAAGGAGGCACTTTCTTTCTAACACTTCCTACCCACTGTGGTTTAACGGGCTAATAAGGGAGGGAAGCAAATAGAAAGCATGCCAATGAGCGGGTTGCTGGGTGCCCTCATTTCCACGAGGGACCTCGGGGAGAGGACACAGAGCTTGCCTGGCCTCGTCCCCCACCTTCGGGCCCAGGAAGCTGAGGCAGGTGTCTGCAGCTTTCTCTGTCTCTGGTGGAGGGCGTTAACCCTTGGCAAGTCTGGCCTGCCTGTGGGCGGAGCCTGTTCCTGAGACAGAGAGATCCCTAAGCAGGCCTGTGGAAGGTAAACACGAGTGGATGTGGGCATCGCAGCGTCCACCTTGTTCACCCAGGCCCAGCCCCGGAGGAGGAAGCCAAACCTCCGAGGACAAGGGAACCAGCAGGCCTCGTGGGAATGGCAACATTAAGGCCCAACCAGGGAGGAGGAATGTCAGTCAGTCTCTCTGCTTCCCACCAGCAGGAGGGGTGGTGGTTCAGAGGTGTTGTTTCAAACAGTGCCTGGTCCAGAGGGGGGATTTTAGCTTTCCTCTGCCCTCCTCTCTCCTGATTAAACAGTTCAGGTGATGCCGGTGAAAACTGAGAGTTGACTAAGCGGGGCTTTAGTCTACTCTCCCTGTGAGGATAAAGGGGCGCACACAAGAATGTTCTCCCCTCTGCATTCAGAGCTTGGGGGAAAGAGAGGTGGCTGCTGGCTCATCCCAGGCTCCGCCCACAGGAGGATGGCTGACCAAGTGCCCAACTCTTGAGGCAAACAAGTGCTCAGGGCTCAGGCAGCCTCCCTCCCCAGCCCTCCCTCCCTGACAGTTTGGACTGCTTTCTTCCAACGCGAATGAACAGCTCATAGGTACCAACAGCTCATAGGTAAGCTCATAAGGCGTCTCCCTTGGCACCTGGAAGCCAGGCAGCGTAACTTCCACTGTGAATTTGGACCAAGTCTAGACCCCAGTGCAGCCTCGGGATTTTCTGATTGCCGACTCTGGGTGGCTGAGCTGTGCAGGAAGGCTCACCACAGCTCCCAGAAAGCTGGCTCACTGCAGCCCAGATGGGCCTCCCAGACCTTTTCTAGGCCACAGAAACTTCCATCTCACAGACAGGCACGGACACTGAACCCTCCCTGATACTCAGAAGGTGGAGCAGGTTCCAGAAGGTCCAAGGTGGGCCCCTGGTGTCAGAGAACATTTCTATGGAGATGAAAGTAGGGATCACACAGCAGTTCCTACCCAGCACCCACCCCAGCCACCTGCTAAAGATGTAAGTGTGAGAACTATACAGACCATACATACTCTAAGCTCCTACTCAGGCCCTCGGTAGGCAGAGGAAACGCCACTGTGTGTGTGTAAGGTTCATCCAAACCTACCTCCCTGAACACGTACACCTTTTCATAAGGAAAGGGCCCAAAGGAGACATGTCTGTCCTAAGAAGGCCTCAGGACAAGGGTGTGCCTGGACATGGCCCAGAGAAAAACTTGGCCCCCACTTATGTTGGGACTAGTACGCCAGCTGAAATTTCCAGTATTATGTGGACCTCAACTGAGCCAGGGCAAGACCAGTGACACCTCCCTAGTACAGATGGGTGACCAGTCACATTAGAGGGAACTGATCCCCATCTCTCCTCTTCCCTGCCTCCCTCCAACCTAGAGCAACTTGACCTGTGAAAGGGAAGATGAAGAAAGAAAGGGCAGGCCACATACATGTCCTCCCGAAGCCTACCTTTGCCAAGGAGAAAGGGAAGGTAAGATTTAAAGTGGGTGTGAGATTGGAGTTTTGACCCAGACGGGACTGGGTACTGAATGTGACTGCTGATTAGGACATTTCCTTAAGATATCATCACAGGATGGGCAAAGGTGGTTACTGGGAAAAATAGTCATTTATTATACCTTTTCGCCACTTAGTTGAAACTCCTCAAATTGTTTTTGCAGCCATGGGTTCTGAGAACTTTAAGGAACATATTTTCCTCTTGAAACACAAGATCTGGAGACACCTAGAAAATGGAGTCAAAGTGGTTGCCTTGTTTGAAGCAGCGAGCCAAACACTCTGAAATGTTCTTTACTTCCTGGAGAGCTAGTTCTCAAAGATGTGTTAATACACAGAATACACAGTGTGTGAGCTTCCTGCGGCTGCTGTAACAAATCACCACAGACTTAGTGGCTTCATACAACACAACTTTATTCTGTAGGTTAGACCAAGTCCAACATGGTCTCACTGGATTAAGATCTAGGTGTCCGCAGGGTGACCGGGGGTCTTCGCATGGCATCACTTCAGCTTCCTCTGTCGCCCCCACCTCTTCCACGTTAAGGACCCTTGTTATTGCATAGGGCTCACCTGGATAATCCAGGGTAATGTACAATCTTAGAGTCATTTGGTTAGCAACCGTAATTTCACCTGTGATATGGATTCCCTTTGCCATGCAACCTAACACCGTCACAGGATTTGGGGACTAGGACATAGACAACTTTGGGGGCCATTATTCTTCTACCACATGAGGCTTCTATGTTATTGAATTCAATATAGTTTAACAAAAATGCATGTGATCCTCACAACACATGGCCAAGATTCAGTTACCTTCTGCCACCTCGCCTCTCAGGGTGTGCGGAGACAGGCTTACTGTGAACTCTGAGAGGCAGTAGCCAAGACTGCCAGACTTTGTCGTGTCTGGAGGATCACACAAAAGCATTCAGTCTCCCTTAGGCCCCCAAGCAGAGGTGACTGCAGGAATGTGGTCTGCACTCGCCTCCCCAGGTAAGGGGCTCTGACACTCTAAGCCCCAGCTGCCACTCTGTTGCTGTCACTGTTCTGCTGACACCAGGACTTACTCTTCCACTGATAGCATCTTCTGCTGCAAGTATTTGGCCAGTAAAATCCCAGGTGACCTTAATCAGTATCAGGCGCTGCAAAATGCTGCCTTAGGGAATAGAAAAGGTGGTGACATGTCTTGTCACCAGCGCTCCTGAGAGTTGAGGCTCACCTTTCTCCAAGGGTGTTATCTCCTGTCTTAAGCTGCATCTGCACAGGTGCCACAGCCTGGTTTGGAGGGAAAGCTGGAGCCCAGCCCCGCTGATCTGCAGGGAGGATGACGGTGGAAGAGCTCTGCGGAGACTGGGATGCAGCACTGTTAACTGCGCTTGCTGGGATGGGAAGCATGTGGAATCCTGGCAACTCCTCTGCACTAACAGCTCTGGTCTGGCCTCTGAATACAGAATGGAAATCTGTGCACCCAGCTAGGACTGGGTTCCCAGGACACCATAGGGGTCTCAGGGTATTACGGGAAGTCTGAAGAGCAAGGCTCTTGACCTTGGCCAGTCAATCCCCTGCTCTGGGTTTTGGGGACCTTCTCATCCTTACTGGTGGGTCCCAGCAGGTTAGGTTGGCCCTGGTCCAGCATAGGCCCTGGACATCAGAAAGTTTCCCCTTGGGCTCCTCCCCATCTCCTCTTCAGGATGCTTTGAGGGCAGCAAACCCACATTCAGACCACCCTCAGCGATGGCGTCTGGGCAGCTGAGCCATCCCTCAGCAGCCCCCTCCCCCTGGAGCACTGTGTGACCCACACCCCAGATCTTGTACACAAAGGCTCTCATTCTCTTCTTTTCTTACACAATAAGCTTTCCAGCTTGCTGGGAAGGACATGATGACCTGATAAACCGGAACCTCAAGCCGGGAGAAACATAAGGCCTTACTTAACCCCCTGGGGGGAAAAAAGGGACCAATCCTCCCTTAGAAACACATAGCCACCGGGACCTTGGACACAGAACCCCAGGAGCATTCATTCCTTTAAGGTGAGGTCACCTTCCCATGGCCCAAGAGCTTTCTTTCTGAAGCACAAATATCCACAAACCCACTCTCTAAGCACATTTCCTACAATAAGCATTGTTACTATCATAATGAAAAAAATAATCCCCTGTATTTTGTTCATCCATTTATGAGTTGATGGACATTTGCTCTAGTTCTACTTTCTGACTACTAGGAATGACACTGCTACAAAAATTCAGGTACAGTGAGGCCTTGACTTACGAGTTTAATTCGTTCCGAGACCAAGCTCGTTAACTCAAATTACTCTATCAACTCAACGCAAAAAATCGGCCGAGAGACAGCTGGTATCTCAAAAAACTCGTTAGTCGGGACACTAGTAAGTCAAGGACCCACTGTACAAGTTTTTGTATGGACAAACGTTTTCATATATATATAGGTGAAATTGCTGAGTTACATGTTAAACTATTTGAGGAACTGCTAAATTGTTTTGCAAAGTAACCACTATTTTCCATTCTCACTAGCAATGTAGGAGGGTTCCAATTTCTTCTCATCCTTACTATTCTTGTTATTGTCTGTCTTTTTTTAATGGTGGCCATCCAAGTGTGTATGAAGTGGCATCTTATTACAGTTTAATTATATTTCTCTAATGATTAAGATGTTAAGCATCTTTTGAGGTGCTTATTAAACATTTGCATTTTTCTTATGAGAAATGTCTATTTAAATTATTTGCCCATTTTAAAAATGTGGTTTTTTTTCGTCTTTTTATTGTTGATCTGTAAGTGCTCTTTATATATTTTGGATACTGATCAGATATGTGATTTGCAAATATGTCCTTTCATTCTGTGGCTTGTCTTTTTACTTTCTTCATAGTGACTTTTGAAGCACAAAAATGTTCCACTTCGATGAAGTCCAGCTACGACGGGGGCTGGGGCTCCCTTCTCCGAGTCCCACACAGAGAGGGAGAGAAGTGAACCGGTTTGTACAAGTTAGGAGGCGCTTTTGGGATTAAAGAAAAATGAATTGGACAGACACAAAATTAGATTAAAAGCTTGGGCTGGGTGTGGCGTCTGCCCTCTGACTTGAGGGACAGACAGAGAGAGAGAGCGCCAGCACTGGAAGCAGTTTATTATATACTCGAATTACAGGAAGTTACATCACATCTGGGTGGGCCTTGAGCTTGACATCACGAGATCCATCCCCTTAACACTGGGCAGACTGAGTGGCGTCCAATCTTTTGACTGGTTCCGCCTTCAGAGCATGGCTTTGCCTTCGCTCTGAATTTCAGCCGACATACTTAAGTCAAGTGTTTTTTGCCAGCGGCCCTTTACACCAGCTTGTCTATTTTTTGCCTTTGGTCGCTTGTGTTTTGGTGTCACATACAAGAAACTATTGCTCAATTCAAGGTCATGAAAATTTACACTCATGTTTTCTTCAAAGATTTAAAAAAATATATATTTTATTGATTTTTTACAGAGAGAAAGGGAAAGGGATAGAGAGTTGGAAACATCGATGAGAGAGAAACATCGATCAGCTGCCTCCTGCACACCCCTTACTGGGGATGTGCCCACAACCTAGGTACATGCCCCTGACCGGAATGGAACCTGGGACCCTTCAGTCCGCAGGCCAACGCCCTATCCACTGAGCCAAACCAGTTAGGGCAATATAATTATTTCTTAATTTTATTTTTTACTGTTAGTGTATAGAAATACAATTGATTTTTTAAATGATCCCACAACATTTTAAAGCATGTGTTTTTACCTTCAAATTCAAGAATCATTATTTTCAAGAAATATTTTCTCCCTCTTAAGGCACGAGACCGTTTGAGGCCTGACAGAGCTCCCAGAGCTTGCTGCTGCCCTAGAAAGAAAACAGGAAATGAACATTTTTGGTGTTGGGAAGTGAAGCATGTGGCTTACTTAGTCCAGATAAGGCAGGTGTACTTGAAAGGGGGCAGAAATAGGATGTTGGGGAACCAGCTAGTATTGTAAGAAATATTAATCATGCTCTGTTAACCATGATTGTTTTATTCTAATTAAAGAAGGCATATTCTACCCCAGCTGGAGCTGACCTGCAGATGCAGCCCTTCCTCCCCATTTGGAGCTGCCTATTATCATGGAAAGATTAACAACTTGGCTACAGAAACCAGAATCGCCAGCCCTTTGAAGATCCCCAGCCCCTTTGCATACCTGTAGGCCTTTGCAGACCTCCAGCCTGCTTACCTGTTAATTGCCCATATGGCACTCCCTTTGGCTATTTCCCCATGTAACCCCAGCCCTTGCATATCACTAAGCCCTTTGAAGACCCCTAGTTCTTTTGGATATCTGTAAACTGTCCTTTTGCCTACTGTTCCTTTGTACTTTTCCTATATAAGCAGCTGGCTTATCGTGGGGTGCAGAGCAGATTTCTGTGGCTGACCTGCTGCTCTCCCATACTGCCAGCAGTACTGGAATAAACGCTCATATATGATTCCACCCTGGCTCTGTTTCATTGGCTCGAGTAGTGATAGGCAGCACAGACCCATTGTTTGTCTGGTAATATACTGAGAGGCATAAATTTAAAAAATTAAGAAGTCCTTGAGCATAGAACAGAGACCTGGGGATGCTACAAAGGGGTTGCAAAATAAAATATTAAGTTCAAAGAACTGGCAGATAATGAGTGTAGGATAACTGCATGTTAAAAACAAAACAAAACAAAGCCCATAAGAACCCTCCCAAGGAAACAGTATATGCATTCTAGTACCAACTTTGGGCATTGGCTAAGAAATTTAGAACTTGAAGGGATCATCTGATCATCTAGTCAGCTCCTCAGCTGAGAGAACAGAGTCTAGAAAGCTGAAGTAGCATGGGCTGCTCAATAGGAGAGAAAGCAAAGGGTTTGGAAACAAATGACTTAAGTCATCACTACTAGGATGTCACAGTCTTTTCGCAGCCAGGGTTCAGGAATCTGGAGAAGGTGCTGCGACATAAATGAAGAGACTAGACAAGAAATATAGATTTGGAAGGCATTGGGGGAACCAGGTGGAGGCCTCACCCTCTAGTGAAGTGGGCTCCCTGAATGTCTGGACCCACAGCTTTTTATTTATAAATTTTACCCTTTAGCAAAGCAAACACGCATATCAAAGGTAAGGTTTGGTGAACAATAAAGGATTATCAGGTTAGGGCAGTGGTCGGCAAACTGGCCCCTTGAGTGTGGCTCTTCCACAAAATACCATGTGCGGGCGCACAGTACAGTGCGATTGAAACTTCGTGGCCCATGCCACAGGGCCAAAGAGCTGCATGTGGCTTGCGAGCAGTGGTTTTCTGACCACTGGGTTAGGGGAACTGCCTTTAGCTGTTCAGCCAGCAGCAGGTAATAATATGCAGATTTTCAGTCCTGCTGAATATCAATAGTCCATCAGCCTTCTGATGAACTTCTCACATTTATGACCTGCTGGTCTTAGCCTCCAGTACTAGGAGATTTTCTAGAAAGCTACTTAGCCTCTGTTGACCTCAGTTCTTCATCTGTAATAGGAGAAAAATGATGCCTACATTTTAGGGTAGTTGTAAGGAATCAGTTATTCAATGAATTACAAGTCTTTCTCAGTACTGTGTGCCAGGTCCTGTGCTTGGTGCTGGGGATGGAGCAGAGAACAAAAGAGGCACAGACCATGCCCACAAGAAGAGTAGTTTTAGGATGAAGATGAAATGAGATTACAGAACACAAGCTCACTAAAAGTTCCAGTTAACTTTCCCAAGGGTTTATTTCATTCAATTTTTTTAAATTTAATTTTTAATTTTTATTGATTTCAGAGAGGAAGGGAGAGGAAGAGAAAGATAGAAACATCACTGACGAGACAGAATCACTGATCAACTGCCTCCTGCATGCCCCACACTAGGGATTGAGCCCACAACCTGGGCATGTGACCTTGACCAGAATTGAACTCAGGACCCTTCAGTCCATAGGCTGATGCTCTATCCACTGAGCCAAACCAGCCAGGGCTATTTCATTCATTTTTGAATCCTGAGCACCAAGTACAGTGCCTGACACACTGTAGACACTCTGTGTTTGTTGAACTAAACAAATCATCTTCTTACCCCAAGGCAAAGGAGGATTTTAGATAGAAAAAGGAAGAGTAGTATATGCTGGGCAAGGAAGCAGAGCATTTCAGGAGCAGGTGATGCTCAGCATGGAGCTAAGTATGAGACCAGGGCCTCCCCTGAGCCAAAGAAAAAGGCAAATATTATCAGTTGAGCCAGGGTTTATTTTATTTTATTTTATTTTATTTTATTTTATTTTATTTTTTATAGCAAAGGTGGAGATTTATTGAAGAACAAGTACAGACTCCTACATGGGGAGAGGGAAAGAGTCCCACAGAATGGACTCCCAAGTAGGGAGCAGGAAAAGGGACTATTTTATTTTATTTTTAAAAGAAAGCTTATCTCTTGATAAATTGAAACCAAATCCAAAGACCTTTCTGGTCCCTTTTCCTTTTAGTGACATCTGCATGTGAATGTCTTATCTTACCAAATTGATTATTCTTAGCCAGTAGGACAGGTTTTTAAATAGAAAGTAAATGAAATTTCTGCTAACATCACTCTGAGAGAAAGACAAAAACAATTCTATGCATACCATCCCAAACTGGGATGATAAGAATGATGAGGGCAATGTAATTACAGGGAGAAGACAATAACCTCAGGCTCTGGATCAGAAGTCCAGGCCCCTGGGCATCACTATAGGTTTCTGCAAGGGAGGACCTCTCATTCTTCCTGCTGGGATCACAATGGCTTGAGGTGCAGTCCTGCTGGGAGCAGGCAGAGAGAGCAGGAGCATATTGGGGCCACAGAGCAACTGGTTATCATGAACCATGTGTCAGGCAGTACATGGAGCCTGACCTCCCATTGCCTCATAAAATCAGCCCTCTCCAGATCTTGTAAATGAGAACCACAAAGAGTTTATGTTGAAAATAATATCCACTCTCCCTGCATGGTTACTCGACTCTCTGTCCCTCTCCCCATGGTGCTGGAAGGACAATGGCCCATCCTCTATCTTTGAGTGAGCAAAATCAAGATCAAAACTGGTGTGGTGAAGTGATTGGCCAAAGGAAAAAGTTATGTATAAAAAAGAAGCAAAACAACAAGAAGAAAAGATTGAAAAGATGCAAGGTGCAGGTGATGAAAATTATGCCATTAAAGAGCAGGCAAAGGAATCCTGGATGATGATCCCAGATTGCCAGTGCAGTTGGAAGCTGCATATACCAATCCTCTGCATATATTAGAGAATGAAAACGTTGGAAGAAGCTGAGGAATATAAGAAAGTGATGGGGCCAGTGAGAATGGCACCAAGTATTAGACTGGTGGGGTCAGACTGGACCTGGATTTAGCAACCTCAGTACTTGAGTTCTGGCTAGGAAAGAATTCAGAGTCAAGACTCAAACTATAAGAGAACATCCTATCTAATAAAAGACAAAAGGGTAATTGACCATACCATCGCTATGCTTCCCATTGGCTAATCAGGGCAATATGCAAATTAACCACCAACCAAGATGGCGGCCGGCAGCCACGCAGCTGAAGGGAGCAGGAGGCTTGCTTGCTTCAGTGATGGAGGAAGCCAAGGTCCCCTGCCTGCTGCGGCCCGGCTCTGAGCTCTGAAAGCAACAAAGTTTTAATTATAGAAGCTAAACAAACCCCAGATACCTGCTTTCAGCAGGCCGTGGCCTCAGACCTAGAGCGAGCAGGATGGCAACAAAGTTTCAATTATAGAAGGTAAATAAATCCCAGAATAAAAAAAGGAAAGAAAAAAAGGAGAGGCTGGGAGTTTTAGTCGCCGGCTAGCCTGAAAACGGCCCTCAGTCCCTCACCCAGACTGGCCAGGCACCCCAGTGGGGACCCCCACCCTAAAGGGGGTGTGGCCAGCCTGAAAACAGCCATCAGCCCCTCAGCCAGGCTGGCCAGGCACCCCAGTGGGAACCCCCACCCTAAAGGGGGTGTGGCCAGCCTGCAAACAGCCATCAGCCCCTCACCCAGGCTGGCCAGGCACCCCAGTGGGGACCCCCACCCTGAAGGGGGTGTGACCAGCTGCAAACAGCCATCAGCCCCTCACCCAGGCTGGCCAGGCACCCAAGCGGGACCCCCACCCTGATCCAGGACACCCTTCAGGGCAAACCAGCCGGCCCCCACCCGTGCACCAGGCCTCTATCCTATATAGTAAAAGGGTAATATGCAAACTGACCCTAACAGCCGAAAGACTGGGAATGACTGGTCACTATGACACACACTGACCACCAAGGGGCAGATGCTCAATGCAGGAGCTGCCCTCTGGTGGTCAGTGAGCTCCCACATGGGGAAGCTCTGCTCAGCCACAAGCCAGGCTGATGGCTGCCAGTACAGCAGTGGTGGTGGGAGCCTCTCCTACCTCCTCAGCAGCACTAAGATGTCTGACTGCAGCTTAGGTCTGCTCCCCGCTGGCAAGTGGACATCCCCTGAGGGCTGCTGGGCTGCCAGGCTGCCAGAGGGATGTCTGATTGCCAGCTTAGGCCCAATCCCCAGGGGAGCAGGCCTAAGCCAGCAGGTGGTCATCTCCTGAGGGGTCCCAGACTGAGAGAGGGCACAGGCCGGGCTGAGGGACCCCCTCCCCCCCTGAATGCACAAATTTTTGTGCACTGGGCCTCTAGTTTATTTATAAAATCACAGAGGTGGAAGAAGTAATTTATAGAATAAATGGGCTTAGGAAACAAGTTGTAGAGGCAAAGGAAGCACCCTTGGAGCTTAGAAGTGAGGAAGGTAAAGGTGAAGCACCTGAGTGGGGATGAGGGCGGGAGGAGGAGGAGAAGAAGAAGGGGAAAGCCCTGGCATGCTCCCAGGAAGGAGAGTGCTCTGGGTCCTCCCAGGGTTTTAAGGGTGAAGATTTAGGGGAGGTCTCAGGGGAAGATCTCAATAGACTATTCAGCAGCTTCCCAGGTGTGTCCTTTCAGGGTATAGGTCTCTACTGATTGACTGGTCGGCACCAGGGCAGGGGGTCATTATCCAATGCAGCTTGTCCTGAGGTCAGCTGTGGGGTTTTGTTGTCTGGTTTTGCTGCTTTTCTGGGCCTGGAGCTGACATACAACTGAGGTCTAGATCAGTGATGGCGAACCTTTTGAGCTCGGTGTGTCAGCATTTTGAAAAACCCTAACTTAACTCTGGTGTCATGTCACATATAGAAATTTTTTGATATTTGCAACCATAGTAAAACAAAGATTTATATTTTTGATATTTATTTTATATATTTAAATGCCATTTAAGAAAGAAAAACCAACCAAAGAATGAGTTTGCGTGTCACCTCTGACACGCGTGTCATAGGTTCACCATCACTGGTCTAGATGTTATCTCTAGGGAGGAAAGGTCAGGGGGTCCTAACCACATGATCA